CTAGGCTCTATTTGTGTAGGAAGCGATTCAAGGGATACCGGTGGCCAAACGTGTACGGTATTCGAGTTACTGACTCTAATTGACAGTCTGCTGTCCGTTTTCTCTGTTTGCATTTACCAAATATTTTAGCAAACTTGTTCGTGTCCGAATTGTTAAATGACACATAGGGACAACATCAATTCCTGGATACATGGCATATTGATGCTTCACTGGGCCAAAGTTGTCAATGGTCGTCTGTCAAAATGTCGTCCCGCCGCTTGGCCTGAATATAATCGTTGTCCTTATCCTTGTTATACCACATGTTTACACAAATCTCACTTGTCCATCATGGTTGATCTTTTCGGACACTTTATTTAACATAAGGACAATACCATATGATAAAGGGAAACTGATGCTTTTGTAAATTTCACTTGTCATAGAGCCGACCACAAACCAAGATGGCGGCCACTGACGCTACGTTGACGGAAAGATATTGTCCGTTTTATTATAACAAACTGTCTCGATGTCCTGATTATTTCTACTGTGTCCTAACTGTATTCGGACAAGAAGGACAACATAAGGACAATTAGTAATCACTTACTTGTGTTAGAAATGAAACTGCCTATGCAGTGTTTCTTGTATGCAAAGCCATCAAACCTGTGTTCTGATTGGTTGAGAAACAATAAGACTTTCGGTCTGATTAAAGGCTCCTGCTCATATTTTACCTGGCACCTCTACTGACTTAGATTTATAATCATAACTGCTTCTAGGTATATATTTTAAGACAAATTACAATCAATTTAATAACTATATTACATACTCAGTAACATTTCTGCAAGATATTTGAGTTGAAATAACAAAATAACTATTTCCTTGGAGACTGAGCCTTGTCATTAGATATAGATATATATAGGCCGAGTAGTGTGTGATATTTATTGGCATTATTTTATTGCATTGCTAACAAAATCCCATCTACATTCTTGCCATTGAAACAAAATTAAAACAAAGTTTGCATATATCACGGCAAACTTTGCTCTCTACTTCATCGTCTCCTTGTGTTATTTGTTTTCTCACGTGCACCCCAAAGGGTGTTACAATATTAATAGTGTTAGTGTAAAACAGTTTGGAATTTTCTTAATTTTTCGTTGCTCAAACCACAATTTGATGATAGAGTACGGTAGACATTTTGGTCTTAAAGGGAAGATCGGCTTTGCCCGCTTTGCATCATTACCAAATATAGAAAATGAATATCACTTTTGCCTGGAATGCCCTTTTATGGGAAATTAAGAAATGATATTCTCCTAAATATTATCACACATATCCATCTGAAATGAAATTAGCTCAATTGTTTACTTCATAGAATACTTATGTTATAAATTGTCTTGCAAAATACCTATTTTTGCCATGAAAAATCGAAATAAATTTCTCAATCTTCGTACCCACAAATGTATAATTGTGCAGTTATCATGATGTTGTACGGTGCTCTAATGATTGGATATTTCTGTACACCTGATGTATAATGGGCCTGTGGCCCCTTTACTGAATAAAGCTCTCTTTCTCACTAAGCTATTCATTTTAGAGTTATATTTTTTCATTTAATACAAACAGCATTTTCTATGCTCAGAAATAAACAGAACAACACATAATTGTACAAAAAGAGTGAACAACGTGCATGGGCATAATATTTTAAGCATAATATGTACTTTACTTATATCGGCGAGACCGAAAAATTATCCAGCATTTTAAAGACACACAAACCTGACTGCCGCTAATTAAGTAAAGCTTTCAATCTTCATCAGTATTTCCACTCACAATGTTTGTGATATTTGCAAGTTGTCATATCCTATAACTTAGATAAATAATTTATGGGCATACATATCATGTTAACTTTATTCAAAAGACAAAGAATTGTTCAGTTTTGTCTTCAGGTTTCTTCCTTGGGAGTGCAATCTGTTTGATCATTTTCTTTTATAAAATATCATTTGATACAACTAGATTCCATCACATTAACGTTCTCTGTGTTGCTCGAAATACCGTAACTGTTGGATTAATTGATATCGGATAAAACTTCCTGTCGATGCAAAAATACGTTCTGTATATGCATTGATGCATATACTACTTTAACATAGAATACACTTGTTTTAATTAATTACAAATGTTCACATTATCATTAACGTGCTTACAATATACCACCAATCTGAATGTTATTCATGTTAAAATTCCTTTTCTTTTGGCATCTATTGCCTGATATCTTTAAAGCACGAATGATTTGTCCAATGACAACTACTTCAAGGGAGGCAACTCTATTATACGGGTAGCGCTGCAACCAAGTATTCAGAACGCCTGTACATCAGTTATATTTCGAAGGAAACGTTACTTAATCGCGGAAGCATATATTGCAAATCCTTGTTATTTGGATTGAAATTTGTGGTTGCCACAAATTCCCATCCACATAACATGGATTTGCAAACAGAAATTACAGATCTTGGTAAACAACATGCTCCCTGAAAACAGTTGTGTTGCTGGTTGGAAGGGCGACTTGCACGAGTGAGTGAGTGAGTATGGTCTTACGCCGCGCTAAGCGATATTCCAGCAATATCACGGCGGGGGACACTAGAAATGGGCTTCACCCATTTTGTCAACGTTGGGAATCGAACCCGTGTATTCGGCGTGACTACGCAACCCCACCGTCCCGCTGGTTGGAAAAGAAAACAAGTTGAACTCTGGCCAGTGTGTGACTTGTGTACAGGTGAACTTAAATCGGTGAATTTGCTATCGATAATAGCTTTAACAATACATCAGAAAATGTTAGCTGTTAGTTTCACAAATGATTTTTTTAATCACTTACAAATCTCTGTTTCCCGGGAAACTGGGGAAAGGCTTCGTAAAGAAATTGCCATGTACAGGGTTTCCGTCAGTGAGTGAGTTCAGCAATATTCCAGCAATACCAAGGCAGGGACAACAGAAATTGACTTTACATGTTGAACCCACGTGGTCTAATTCGGCGTGACGAGCGAACGCTTAAAGTACCACTATAGGCTAACTAAACCCATCTCCCTTGTCGCAGTGACCATGCGTTCTGAACTGCAAATACATATACCTACTGCATGACATTCTCCACAGTGAGTCTAGTTTTAAGTCCCGAGTATAAGCCACCAATGTAGTTAATTAATTCCAAAATAAAAATCCGTTCATTGAAGCGAGAATAATATGCTTCATTCAAATAAAACCCAAATAATTTTACAGCATCACTGTTTAAGTGTTTTGCGTTAATAATTATATAATACACATCTATGTCTCAATTAAAGGATTTTTTAAAAGGTTAAACACTATACATTTTACTACATAATGTCATTCAAACATGGATATATACCACATCTGCACCATCCATTTACGAAAAATAGTCGTAAAAATTATAAATATGCACCAAAACTAAAACCGCTTTAGCCCCGCTCACTCCAGTAGCTAGCTGTATAAAGCAATAGTTGATGAAAAAGTACGTCATAATTTGCGCTCATGTCCTATTTTCGATCAGAGATATATTTTCACCGCCACTGTTACTGTTACTCAGTAGGGCCAAGTCATCTATTTCCCGAGACGGGTGTGTTGTGTGAGTGTGTGTGGAGGGATTGGGATGGGGGTGGGCATGGACAAATGAGAACTTGCAACATATGGGTGCGGTGTTGAGAGAGAGCACATAATTTTTAAAACATAATTAAAAATGAGTCATATCAGATAATTATCCACCAGGGACTGGTCCCTTATAAAATGGCATGTGAATTGTGTGTGTGCGTGGGAAAATCAGGGAAATATGTTCATTCAGATAATGTATTTCTTTGTGGGTTTTGTTTTTGACAAATGTAAAAATGCTACTTTAATGCTAATTTTTAGGATGTACATGGCACCATTTCACATTAATGAAAACAGCCTAAATACCCTAGAAGTGACCACGACTGGAGAACCCAAGTGGGCAATCAGTTACCCCCTAGGATAAAACAAGAGGCCAAGCCAGTGAACAAGAAACCAACACGTGTTAAATATACTGCAGACAATCAATAATTTTTTGTTGAACGGGTGCACTCCAGTTTGAAAAAAAACATTACTATTACATCCTATTACTGCATGTTTTCCCCTAACTAATGAGTCAAGTCTTGTTTGCAAAGACACTGGTTTTTAATCCTCGTGTCTATTTTCCCTCTCAGCATTTGTTAAGACAAAGGTACTTACTTTTTTAGAGCAGATTTCAAAGGAAAAATATTATTATGGTTGCCAAAACAAAATGTACTGAAATTGTGTTACAAAATTAAGTCTATCCACTTCTCCACAAAAACTGCTTATACATGTGTTTCATTGGGACTCGAAAGGTGTGCATCTCATAGTTGCATAGATGTTTATTGAACTTTTTCGTGAATTTTGTTCAATTATTGATCTTTATATGTCTTATGAATGTCAGCGGGGGCATCCGTGTCCCTGGACACAATTTTTCTTGTTTGTATATTATATGTATCTAGGTGTTCATTAAGATCGATTATAAACAATGTGTAGTGACCTTTTTTAAAAATCCTTTAAATTTTCAAGATGAGGGAGAGATCGGGGAGATCAGACGTTCCTGAGGCGTTTCATATCTTTTGAGGAATTGGCTTATGTCGCAGTTGTCCACAAACACACTACTTTCAACATTAACTATTCTTGCTTTCATAAATATGAAATTCGAAACAACAACTACTAAAACATTTGAGTTTGAATTAAGGCGAGATCATGTTCATGATGTCTTTTAGCGCCATTTAGAAGTTGTTACGGATGACCAGGATATTTTATGGATTTATTCTTCTTTATTCTTCTTTTATTCTTTCCCACGCAATGTTTCGGGATCATTACAGATCCCTTCATCAGGTGAAGTGACAGTTGACACTATGACGTGTCCATAAAATATCTTGGAGATCAATATATTATGGTCCAAGATACGTTCCCGGCAAACCCATCTAATCGTTTGTTCCGGATTTTAAGTAACCGGAAGTTATCTGACCAAATCAACAAACGACGCCGCGAAAGCGGGCTGTCGGTGTGAAAAATTACACTGGACCACTGGTAATGAACCCCTTATCGTTGGTATGAAATATAACACACCCGATTCCATAAACCTTCTTAAGCTTTTCTCATACTACTGCTACGACTAATTTAGGAACAGGGACGATGTTCGGATATTCAACGTGTGTTCTGAACACAAATTTTATACACTGTGTTTTACAGGAACTCTGGCCTCGATCGGCAAATAATATCAATGAAAATTGCGGTGTTTTCAATAGCACTATTGTCCAAGATGTCTGCAAATAGTTCGTTATTTTGCAGGCAAATTTTGTGAAGCCATGGTTCATCGGGCCCAGCCAGTATATATTTGTGGTGATCGGAAAGAAAGTCACAGGAAAAAAGTCACAATAACAGGCCTACCATACAAACGGTGAACAAATCATCAAAACTAAACTCATATACACCAAAACAGAACAAAAATCACCACAATAGGAAAATAAAGTTCCAAAACTGCAAGAATATCCTCTAAAACCAAAACAATACATCTGTAATGGAAGACTAATCGTTTGAAATGGAAACAAAACTCACGTATCAGCCACACGAGCGCACGAGAACGGTCGCTAAGCGTACAAAACGGCATTCATAGAATCCCAACACGGCAGTCATAGCATCCCGAAACAGCATACAAATCGCCAAAGATTGCGGCGAGGGGAGACGAATAGGCTTTGGTATCCTTGTGTATTCGGTTTTCGGTCATGTAAGGTTTGTCGACCAACGTAACATAAAGTGCATGAATAAATTGACAATAAACAAACCTACCTCATTTGTTTGTTATTTATTTATGATATTCAAATATCTGACGGATTAACCTCGTGTTTCACCCGCACAGCAGGCCTCATAGTTCGGTACACAAAGATCGTTAATGCGGAAGTGACGTCATCTGTTTTCGTTCACTTCATAGGTTCTCCGTAAAACAGAAATCTAATAGCAGTATTCGTGCTATGCTGATATTTTTATAATATAAAGTTGCTAAACATCCAGTCGAAAAAGAATATTTGTAATAGTTCCAATAATAATTATTAGAAACTATGGTCGTAATAATTTCATATCAAAGTTATTCATGATAAGACTTTGCTAGTTACATCACATGTCCAGGCATGTTTCACTCCTCCGGTTCGCGCTGACAAGGGCACCAAAACTCATCAGAAGATCTCACTACACATACAGGGGTGCACAGCTTGAGGTGGACCCAGTGACAGCATGCAGGATGAGTACACTGGGCCCACGACACAGAAATAGTCATTGCAGTTTCGAAAATTAAATGAGTATTTTGGAAAATCGTAATAAGAGATGACCCTAGCCAGTTTCCATATATTTTTTTTTACAACGGCAACGCCACGTAATATGTCATGAGATAATGATACATCATACCATAAACAAGCAGACGACGCTATGCTGAAAAGGTGGAGCTGACGATATTTTAGATATAGCATTTTGATTACATGAAAATTTATATATTAGTAAACTCTGTTCTAAAACGTAACATTTACATGTGTTTGCAATCATGTACCTTACTAAATTTCACACGAAGCATTTTGTTAGTCAGAGCTGAAGCAGTCGACCTCCTGCTAAAAATAACCTGTCTGGTGACATAATATCTTGCTAATAACCGCGAGAAATGAACACTCAAACGGACGACTGATGGCTTTCGTCACTGTGAGTCTAATCTTGAAAATTTGATAATGGGGTGTAGCGCATCAACCCCCTATTGTAGTAAGCTTCAAACCTATGTCCATACTGCTAACTGTCAGGCTTACAATTCTGCACAATGTGGTCCCTCGTCAACAAAGACATGAGAAATCCTAAATGGCAATAACTGTTACAGTTAGTTGTGAGAAAACATCTATTTATACTGTCATGATTCCCTTCCGCCAACAATGACATGAGAAATCCTAAATGGCAATAACTGTTACAGTTGGTTGTGAGAAAATATCTATTCATACTGCCATGAATGATTCCCTTCCGCTGCGTTATATAAAAACATGATCAGTGGCAGTGAACGGGCTGGACACATTGATGAATAGCTAATCAAGTATCATGGTTAATTTTGTTTCATTAATTTAACAAACGGCAGAATAATTTTGTTAAAAATGCTAAAATATGGTGATAACTGTTCGGTAGCCAGTTGGTTTGAAAGTTGGTCAGAGTAATAAGAAGTTTGTTTACATAGTGATTGGATGGGGCCACCGGGTCATTTTCTTTCATTGTTTATGGATCTTTGCAGATAATTTCATTTGTTCATTGATGCTATTTAAAATACAAACAATCACTTCAAATCATACATATTGTCATATTGTAAAACTTTTCGGGGTGTGAGTCACGCAGTTGCTTAGGCATGATCCAGTAAGTCGCCTCTTACGACAAGCATGGGTTGCTGAAGATCAATTCTAGCGTGGAACTTTCAAGGTTCAACCCTAAGGACATAGAAAATGGATACATGTAACGTTTTCCTTCCATTTCAGACAATATGAGAAGACATAATAATATGTCGCGCAGAATATGATGCTAATGCAAAGAACATGCAGAAAAGGTTTCAGGATTCATGGTCAAATGCCCTGGAATGTGCTCTTACGGCATTGGCACACAGATATCTAAACTGGCACATATATTTCGCTCCTATTGCGTCAACACACAGAGTACATGATTTAGACTACTGGGTGTCAGAGTTGGTTAGATGTTGATGTGGGTTTATGTTCTGGCAGATTGGTACATGTAACGTTTCGTTTTTTTATTTCAGACAATTCATCAAGTATGGCAACACATGTATTGTAGTGCATGAACCTGCCAGCACCTAGCCAACATGGGGATCCGGGGACTGTTGTCGTACTGTCGAGAAGACATCTCTGCATGTGCTGACACCATCGACCTGGTCGAGGTTGCACGGCACAGGGATGGAATTACGATTCTTGTCGACTTTTTCTCCTTTGAACACCTCATCTTGGAACAATTCTGGCGTGGTCTCTCAGACATGTGTCACAACCCTTACCTCCAGTTTGATGGGGGTGAATACCAGACCCTTGACTCCTACCTGTCAAAGTTCATAAATGATTTAAAAAGTTTAGGAATTGAACTTGTGTTCTATGTGGATGGTGCCAAGGGAAGTTCATATGAGGGAACTAAGCAGAAGCTTGAAACGTGGAAGCATCGGCACATGCAGGAAGTTCAGAGACTGAGAGAGATCATGGACATGTGTCGGGGGGTGTTTCCTGTTGAGCAGCTTCACCGTGAGGCTCGTATGCGGCCTGTGCTGTTAGAGATCCAGTTTACAAATACCCTGAAAGCTTGTGGGTGTACTGTACACCAGCTGCCTTCAGGAGAGGCAGATTACATCATTGCACAAGAATTAGAGACAAATCCAAAGGCTGTGGCTGTCCTGAGCAATGATACAGATTTCTTAGTGTTTCGGAAGGGGGCGATGATTTCGAATGAGATGTTTGACGTACATGGTGACCTTCAACTTGGTAGGCCGATGGCTCTGCCAGAAAAACCTCTCAGACTTGTATGTCATGTTTTAAAGGCAGAAAAGGTTGCACGGAGCCTTGGGGTGAGTGAATCAGTGTGATATGTGTATTACTATTAGTAAATGAATTGTATTGCAATATATTGTGATCAAGGTATCCCTTATTGTGATACGTATTGCAATATATTGGAAACTTAAGCCTTTGACTGTAGGTGACACTAATTGTACATGTCAATCCTATTTTCTACATTATAAGCCCTAAAAATATATGTTATGGTTCTGATAACAGCAATCACAAACTTAGGTTGCATAGTCAGGGATGCTATTTTCTTTTTTATACAATTTTTATGTTACAGTATGCCGGCAGGGCGGTGGGGTAGCCTAGTGGTTAAAGCGTTGGCTCGTCACGCCGAAAACCCGGGTTCGAATCCCCACATGGGTACAATGTGTGAAGCCCATTTCTGGTGTCCCCCGCCGTGATGTTGCTGGAATATTGCTAAATGCGACGTAAAACCAAATTCAGTCAGTCAGTCAGTCAGTCAGTATGCCGGAAAACATCTGTTGTGAATGAAAGTGTAGATTTTAATTTAAATTATACCATAATAAATTCACATATATGTTCTTTACCCAATATACTGGTTCTCAGAAACAATATTACAATACATATCGTTTGAAAAGCGTATTGCATTTTACCAGTAATACATTGCAGTTCTAGTATTTGTTGTAATTGTACAAGCAAAAACTATAATTGAAACAATTCTCTTACCGTTCAAAGACCTTAATTCAGACTCTGTAAACAAGTATAGCTGTAAGGAATATAGTAACTATGGTGACATGGGGATGAGAGGTGAGAATGTAGCGATGGTCACCATTAAATATGACTGTCTCAAGAGGAGGGATATAATAAAAAAGATGTGTTTGAGAAGTTCGTAAAAAAGGGGACATATCACTGTAAAATGTTACTTAGATTTTATAGGAAAAATAGTAGTATATTCAGGTGGTTGGTTTATATCAAACTTCTGGATTCCCACAAACCCAGACCAGTTGCTGAAGTCACAGACTGCAAATATACCATGTTCTCAAATCCTTGATTGAATTCAGGTGAATCTGATGCAAAGTGACCCTTTTCAGTCATCAGCAATAGCAAATACATTTTGTTATTCACAGAAACTCAACCATGACTCATTGATGACATAGCCTGTATTTTCATTGTATGTTACTGACATTGACATATCTGGATTTCTTCATGAAACTAGGGTTTACCGCCCAATACATTGATAGTCAACTTCCTTTATATTTTTTAAAACTGTTATTTTGAATAACACATAGTGCCATTACGTTTGGTTAACTGTGAAGTTTAGAGATGATGCCGCACTCGCTGGATTTATAAGGCACGCGGAGAATGATTATCGCTCTGAAATCACACAATTTCTTGATTGGTTTAAAATCAACTTCTTTGAATTAAATGTTAATAAAACAAAAGATATGGTAATTGATTTTTGGAAAAGTAAAAGTGAGCTGTTGCCAATTTGCCATTGATAACGAAACCATGCATAGAGTTGAGGAATATAACTTTTTATAAGTATCTTGGCACAGTCATAGATTCTAAACTCACCCAGAACAGTAATATTGATTACATATACAAGAAAGGACTAAAGCGGCTATACTTCTTACGTCGTCTTCGTTATTTTAAGATTGACACAACCATATTGTCGTTATTTTATAAGTCTTTTATACAAAGTATTTTAGTTTTCAATGTACATTGCTGGTATGGCGGTCTGTCTGTTCAAAATCGATGTAAACATTCCAAGATTGTTAAAGCCTCGAGTAAAATTTCTGGACTTAACAAGCAAGATATCGGCACTATTTACATTCAGCAAATTGAAAAAAAGTATGTAAAATTTTAGATGACAGCACTCATGTCCTATTTCCTGAATTTCAACTTCTTCCTTCTGGCCAACGACTGCGCACGCCAATATTCAGAACAAACAGGGCTCGAAATTCTTTCATCCCAGCAAGCATCAGTGTTTTAAATGAATTATTATAATGTTTTGTAAATCATCTTATAATACTTTATCAATTGTTTCAAACTGTCATATCAATATACTTTTAGTGCAACTGTTCCTGAGCAAAATTTTTAATGTCGCCACTATTGCTCTAAATCTTAAATATATTAGTATTTATTCATCATTTATCTTTGCCTCATATATTGGCTGTTGTTGCTAGGTATTTTAGTAATATATGACATATGTATGGGTGTTTTTATGTATATATATCATTTGTTGTATTGTATGTGTCTTCAATCTTAACCGTGCAAAGCAAATTTCCTTCGGGATGATAAAGCATTATCTATCTATCTATCTATCTATCTATCTATCTATCTATCTATCTATCTATCTATCTATCTATCTATCTATCTATCTATCTATCTATCTATCTATCTATCTATCTATCTATCTATCTATCTATCTATCTATCTATCTATCTATCTATCTATCTATCTAAATTTGTATATCACGCTGTACCGGTGTCCAGTTGACTTTTCAATGTTAATTATGTTGTTTATTTAAAAAATCAGCAAGAAAACGGTCGGTATACTGGAAAAAATATCAGGGTAAGTGACTTTACATGTGCCACTATACCGGAGTACACTATCAATTTTAAAGTTATTTCCACCCCTGGACCTTTTTCGTGTGTATTTTCAGTTGACAGAACATGCTCAGATTGTGGAACTGAGCATCGTTGCAGGCAATGACTTCACCGGACCATTCATGCGAAGTGGACTATTTCACTCGCTTGGTATCGAAGGTAGTCGAAGTATTCCGAAGCTGGCCTCCTTGGTGAGGAACTACGGTAATGTGGAGAACCATCCGGCAATCCTCCGCCGTATGGTATGTTGAAAACCTTGAAAATGTGTTGAAAACCATTAGTCATATATTTGCATGTATCATGTGTTGGAACTCATGGATCTTTTATGGAATATTTGATATCATTATCACGCTTTAATCACGCTTTAATCACCCCGCGCCGTGTTCGCACCCAATCGAGTTGGTCCACGGGAATTGAATTAATTAGGGTCAAGCGCTTCAGTTTGTACCGCGGAGCGCACCCGTCTTGTGTACACGTTGCGTCTCTGACTGATCATGTATCGTACATGGTATGTTGGATATATTGTGTCATATATGGTATGTTATGTTGGATATCATGTATCATATATGGTATGTTATGTTGTATATTAGGGGTGTCGCGATACGCGAATGTATCGATACATCGATACATATTTACTGACGATACGATACGCGATACATGCTTGCGTGTATCGATTCCTATTTTAAAACTTTATCGATTCAAATTTTTATGCTATATCCATCTCCGTCAAAGTCTTGATCGTAAAATTATACCAGATGGCTCCGATAAATAGATGTAGCTAGCTTTACTTAAAAAATAAGTTGGAAACTAACAGCTTTTGTGATTGGCTAGACTATTTTGATGGACAAATCAGCGAGCGCGTACGTGTCTGGTAAGGTAATGCTATGAAAAGGCGCGATAATTATGTATCGCGATACGTATCGTATCGTGACCTTAAAATCGTGATAAGTATCGTATCGTGAGATTGGTGTATCGTGACACCCCTATTGTATATCATGTTTCATATATGGTGTGTTATGTTGGATATCATGTTTCATGTATTGTATGTTGTATATCATGTATCATGTATGGTATGTTATGTTGTATATCATGTATCATATGTGGTATGTTATGTTGTATATCATGTATCATATATGGTATGTTATGTTGTATATCATGTTTCATATATGGTATGTTATGTTGTATATCATGTTTCATGTATGGTAGGGGCGGTGGGGTAGCCTAGTGGTTAAAGCGTTGGCTCGTCACGCCGAAGGCCCGGGTTCGATTCCCCACATGGGCACAATGTGTTAAGCCCATTTCTGGTGTCCCCCGCCGTGATATTGCTGGAATATTGCTAAAAGCGGCGTAAAACTAAACTCAGTCAGTCAGTCAGTCATGTATGGTATGTTATGTTGTATATCATGTTTCATATATGGTATGTTATGTTGATATCATGTATCATATATGGTACGTTGGATATCATGTATCATATATGGTATGTTATGTTGTATATCATGTATCATGTATGGTATGTTATGTTGGATATGTTTCATATATGGTGTGTTGTTGTATATCATGTTTCATATGTGGTATGTTATGTTGGATATCATGTATCTTATATGGTATGTTATGTTGGATATCATGTATCTTATATGGTATGTTATGTTGGAAATCATGTATCATATATGGCAGTCAATATATTATGTAGCTTGTTGGCATCTAATCATACTATGTTGGCATCCATGATTCTTGTTGACATCCATATATCATGTGGTATGTTGACATCCATGAATCATGTTGGCCTTATATTATAAAGCATGTTGGCATCCATATATCATTTAGTATCATATTATGTTGGCACCCATGAATCATGTTGGCATCCATGTATTATAGAGAATGTTGGCATCCTTGAATCATGAAGTATTGTTGGCATCATACATCATGTAGAATGTCGTCATCAAAGAACCATGGATGCTATTTTTACTTGCCAATAAAACAATTCTGTTGAGACATTATGTAACATTGACATTGACAGACCTCCACGCCATCAAATTTGTTTCACCATCGAGCAAAGTCAATGAAACTTATGATTGCCATGGTTACACTTACAGCGAAGAGATCATCAGTTCGCAGCTGCCATAACTCACACCCGCAACTTCTATATGCTGACTTGCCCCGCGGAAAACCACAGTACAGGGGGCTTCATCTACAACCTGCTGTGTGAAGGCATAGAACATGGGTCCTTCGCCCCACACGTCCTTGGTTTCCATAATGGCTTGTACTGGCGCCGCATCTTTGTGGAAGAGGTGGCTCACGGACATCCATCCTCTGAAATGGCTTTAATTGGCCTGAGGATGTACATCTATCGGATTGTTCTACCAACCAACAAACATCAGGTTACAGAACATGGTCGATCAGACCACAAGGACTACCAATACACGAGGGTAGGTGATTATCAATGAGATGCCTTTGATTTGGAGAATGTGAGATGAATGTGTGACCCATAATCTTAGGTGCTGCAATATGCTGTGAAAGTTGCTTCCCTTTGGGTGCCAGAAACCTATGATTATGGATTTTTAATCCTTGATTATGGATTTTAAATTACAGATTAGCCCTCATTATTTTTCAAGGTTTGTCAGCAACAAGCCCCTGCTAATAGTTTTCCCCAGAGTGGTGAATGACAAAGAACTTTCTCCCCAAATCAAGTGGATGTGCTATGATTGATCAAAAATTGCAAAGAGGCAGCATTGGTCATATTGTCATTCTCTCTGTCATTATCAGCAGCAGTTTGTGCAGTTAATGTGTGTACACCGTTATTGACCTTATCAGATATACATTCACAGATAAATATGACTGCTGGTAGTCATGAGCAAATGTCTATTTCTTGAAATTCATAAACGACCCGTGAAGGTCCGGGTTAGAATATTGATCTTCAGTAACCCATGCTTGTCGTAAGAGGCGACTAACGGGATCGGGTGGTCAGGCTCGCTGACTGGGTTGACATATTTGTCATCGGTTTCCAATTGCGCAGATCGATGCTCATGCTGTTGATCACTGGATTGTCTGGTCCAGACTCGATTATTTACAGACCGCCGCCATAAAGCTGGAAAATTGCTGAGTGTGGTGTAAAACTAAACTCACTCACTCACTGAAATTCATAAACATAGTAGCACATGTGCAGGTATCTCTGTCAGTTAATGATCACAATAACTTGTGATTCTATTTCAAGTGGTGAGGAATTAAACATCCAGAACAGCCCGTTGTGTAAAAGGTCAACAAAAGTACAGTGTGCTTGTAAATTAGCGAACAAGATGCCTGCAATATTTGACCATTACATTTTGGGCAAATCTGTTGCCCAACTAACATATGAATCAATTTAATCTTTTGATGAGAGTTGCTTTAGTTGCAGAAGGTCCAAATGTATGTTTTACATGTTGTAAGCTTGTATCTCATCAATTAAAGTCATTAATGAATGGGTGACAACTTGTTGGCTGTTGGAGACATGATATTATAAGTTGTTCACTGGTCATCATGCGTGATTCAATGTTAATCGAGATAAAGAATCACTACTACGAAGTACAAAATGAGTTCGGCATTCCCAGCGGGTTACATCAGAGTTTTACACAGACTTTGAAAAATGGGAGTCATGGTGACTCACAATGTCTATTTTTGGGAGTCATTTTCAATATTTGGGAGTCATGAAAATTTAATATTTCTTTGTTTTTATAAATCAAAAAGCAAGAGTTTGGCAAATATTTTATTGTTTTATGTTGCATTGTCATTTATATAACTAGTTAGTAATATAAGTTGTATGCTTCTCTCGAGGGTAATACAGTCTGATGTACGCCTTTTTGTAGCTGTGTCACCCGAGCCAGTAGCAAGGATTACTGTCTCCTCTGAGTTCTTTGGAACAATCTGACAGCACTGTCAAAGTCAAACTATCATCGAAAACTATCATTGTTTGCTTATCAAACTGATATTATTGAACTGAATTCGGAGGGTCACCCATAAAACTTGCGTCATGCTTGACTCTTATAACATCGTGAGAGTCTTTTACAAAATTGTTGCGTCAAATACGCAGGAATCATGCGTCATGTAAAACCATGTTACATAGAAACTGCTACTCGCTTGTAAGCGGGGTACATTGAAAATAATAGATGAGCGCTCAGCCAATCAGAAAATGACATTTATGTGTGAGGCAAGATAATTATTCTCTTTCCTTCAGATCAATGCAACAGAAAACAGGATGATTCCTTCAATCAAGGACATAAAACCACAGGAAATATTCGAGAATCTGAGGCTCTTTGATCGCATTATGTCCCATCAGGAACCCCAGGGTGAGTACCCAGTGGTACATGGTACTGTACATTTAACGCCATGGCCAGACTTTCGTTTTCATAAATGGGCATCAATCATATTACTTGATTGGCAGTGGGGTAGTCTGGTCGTTTAAGTGTTTCCTTGTCACACTGAACACCCAGGTTTGAATCCACACATTGATAAAATGTGTGAAGTCCTTTTCAGGTGTTTCCAACCATGATATTGGAATATTCAGAGGTACAGATAAGCTGCGTATCTGCGTAAATTACGCAAACATTAATTTTATGTGAAAACTCAATTCATATTAAGTCTGTTGTGTACAAGTATGCGGCGAATTTTTAAATACTCAATAATACTCAGGGTGGAAATAACCCATTGCCCGACGTCCGAGTCCAGTGTTTTTTTCTGTCGGGCAAGCAAATTTGAATATCACACTGTACCGGTGTCCAGTTGACTTTTCAATGTTAATAATGCTGTTTATTTAAAAAATCAACAAGAAAACGATCGGTATGGTGGAAAAATAATCAGGTCAAGTGAATTTACACGTGCCACTGTACCGGAGTACACTAGCAATTTTAAAGTTATTTCCACCCCTGAATACTCAATTTGATCTTACATGTGTACACACAAAAATGTCAAATCTTAAATTACTGAGGATAGATAAAGTAACTGGAGTATATTGAGAGCTTCTATTGCAGCACATGAACTTGGCAACGTGCAGTCTTTCTTATCGATTCTCATATCACTGTCAAATATAATAACAAACACGTAAACCAATATTTAAACTTTATTATGTTTTTACAATTAATGGAAAATGGCAAAATACCCAATTGAATCTGAGTGAGGTGGGTACAATTAATGTGGTTACGCAAAGGAAAATTTGGATACCCAATTGAGATGAACACCAGTGAAAAATGACTCAAAAAGTTATCTGTAGCTCTGAATCTTGTAAAAAGTGGCGTGAAATTAAACTCGCTCACCCTCTCATTTTTTTTACTTTCCCCAGTTCTACATTCCAGGAAGATGTTTGACTTTTCGAAGAGCTGTTACATCTGAAAGCAAGTCTCTGTGAAAGTAGTTGAAATTTCAACTCAATTTTAGGATTCAACATTTGTGATTAAAATGTTTCACATATGCATCAAGATAATCAGCTAAGACACTAAACAAACTTAAGTTTTCGTCATTAAGGTCAAGGTTAAGCAGTAATGATGTTGTTGATCACTGGATTGTCTAGTCCAGACTCAATTATTTACAGACCGTCGCCACAAAGCTGGAATATTGCTGAGTGCGGCATTAAACAACAATCAAACAAAACTAGAAGTAAAGTTTTCATCCTGGAAGTGGATGGTTATAAGGAATACATTTTGTAATTTGAAATAGCAGTGAAGGGTTGAATCTGTTTCTGCAAGTATATGTAAATACATAAGGATATTCTATTCCAGCCTTCCCAATGACCTGGTTTGATCGATATGGAAGAAAAAATGGTTTCATATGTTACGTCCTACGTTATTTCCTTCTCCAAAACTGGGACTACAACCTGCGCATATCCGAAAAAGAGTTCCTGGCTTTGGTTGCCATAGCATTGACAAGACAAATGAAACATGGTACCAAAGACTCGGTCTGAGGCCTACTCCAAGATGTGTTACTGTTGGCAACTGGTTCCAGGTAATGTATACAGTGTTGTATTGTTGTACAGGGAATTATGTGTATCCTCATGACCTTGACGTATTTGTCATGTTTGTGTTGCCACCTGTTCTGGCTAATCAGCCATTCAGCTTGTAAGATCATTTTGTGATAAAGTATTTTAAAAAAATGAAAACACAATATGTTACTCTCAAAAACTAAAATGCAATAAAGACTAGTGGTTTCCCCACCAACTAAAATATGAGTTGGTCTTGCAGAACTGAGCAGAGGGTTTGAGAATGAGAGTTACCTCCCCTTGATGTATGTACAGTTGAGCACCGTTGTGTCGAACTCTGATAACTCGATATCTTGGTTCTCTCGATATAACATCTCGGTCCCGGCAGAATCTCTCATGATTTATCTTTATTCAAGCTCTTTTAACTCGATACGAATGTCTCGATATTTCGGATATCTCGATATAATTTCATGGTCCCAACAATCAAACTTACCCTTTTAACTCGATATTTACAAAGCAACTCGATATTCATCACCTTTCATGGGCAAGTATCCCTCTGAACTGAGGTTGTTTCCACACGTTTACACACGGTGCGGCATGAATCAAAGGAATGCGGTAGTGTGAACTAATTGGGGTTAATTGAGTTGAAGGTGTCACTTGTTTGTTATTTAATTAGGATTAATTAAGAAGGAATTCATTAGGAAGTACTCACTGTTACGACTAAACACCACTGATAACGTATTATAGTTTCGAATCAAAACACACTGAGAATCCAGTGAGGGTTTTGTTGTAATCGCAATTGAGAATGACAGATGCGTTCCCAAGATTTGTGAAATAAAGAGATGGAGGGCGAGATAAGGTACCATTCAAGATGGACACTGTAACATGAGGTTATTGTGTGTGACTGCGATCCCTGTGAGTAAAAATGTATATGCAAATATATATACATGAAACCTACTTATTTTTCCTTATCCTGACTCATGCTATTTGCTTGTCTTAGTGAACATAGTGGAACACTTGTATCTCCCAATTGAAGTTCCCTTCAATGTAAAATCACTAATTAGTACTCACCACGAGTTATCTGTCCCCTCGTGGCTGGCGGAGCGAGGGGCGCCACCTCAACCATGTGCCTCACTCTCTCCTTCTTCGCCCAGTGAGCAGGGGCGTGAGAGCGCCTGTGTCTCCCCTACACACTATATCCTTTATTTTTATTAGTTTGTTACCTCTTATAATCATCTATAGAGGTGTAACTAGTATCCTTATTCAACATGCATTGATATTTACTCGTGTTTCTGCTGCTTTATTCACGGTCCGCCATGTTTGCTCAGCAGATTGCATTAATGAAAATCTGCACTGTTTGTAAATTACGTTTCTCTGCTGCCGATCCATTTAATATGCCCTAGTTGTACAACGCCATGCTCTATTGTTTCACGCTGCAATTTATGTATTAAATTGTCTAATTTTGCCTTTGATAAATATTTATATTAAGCGTCTTGAGATGTGCAGCAGATAGATCTCGGAAACAGTCTTCAGTCATGGATGATAGATCAGAGTCAGATATACCCTGTCAACTGTTGGCCGGACGACCCTCTACCGTCTGGTGTTCGCCTGAGTTACCTTCGAGGCGTGGGGCCAGTCCGCTATATCAAGAAGACCCTGCATCCCAGGACATCCCATCATCACAGTCTAAGACTAGGAGAGCTTACGCGGCGTCGTCTGGCGTGACGCTCCGCTTTAGGGGCTACAGCCGTCGAAGGAAACCTCACGAAGGCTACAAACAACTTTTCATCTGACATTCTTCCTTTTTTCAGAATTGTGTTTATATGATGATGATATTCCGATTATCATTCCACATATACGTCATAAGAAGCGACCAGTATCGGCTACCGTCACTTCAGCGCAGATCAACACGCAACCAGAGATGCCTAGGCTGACGGCCAAGATTCTAACTGAGGGTCCCGTCGCTACCATAGAGAGGGCAGCCTCAACGCCAGCGCAGACCGTCCCAGACGACCTGGTCAACCAGATTATGATGTTGATGGAAGACCGATATGGTTTACAGAGGCCTCAGAGCCGCGGGCCCCAGAGCCCAACCCATAATAAGTCATGTAGGGTCCCAGAGCCCGCTATGACTTCGCGTAGGGCCCCAGAGCCCACAAACACGCCTCCACGAAGGGCAACCCAGCCCTCGTCAGTCCGTTCACCACAATCTTCTCGTCGATCTTCTTACAGATCTAGGACTCCACCTCACCCTATTATATGTGATCCTACGTCAGAAGAGGAAGAAGGTATCGTATTCTCGGATGCAGAAATTAGATACTGGATGGTGAATGGATTGGAACTTGCTTCCCCGTCTAAGAACGAGAACTCAGCTCATACTTATTTGATGAAGGAAGATGATGCGGACACTATCTCCTTACCTCCTATTGACCCGATAGCAGCAGTTCCAGCTAATCTGGATACAGCCTTTACCAAACCTACGAAGTTTTAGTCAACACATTTCCCGGTTTTCAACGCCAAGAAGTTTGCAGGCCACAATATGGACTCCTTTTTCAAGGCTCAAGATATTGATGAGAACTTTAAGTTAATCAGCGATGCCAAGTCCAGGAATTACAGAATAGACGATCGCAAGCTAGCCCAGTTGGATACCATTTCTAGGAGAATGTTTTTTGGATTGAATAGATCTAGAACTGTCAATGAAACCCTCATCACCAAGTTCAAAGATTCTACAGAGGAAGAAGATAGGATGATCTACTCGGCTCTACTCATGCAGAAAAGAGACCAACAGTTCGTTACAGATCACTTGTCAGCGCTTACTGCAGCTACTACCATGGCTCGTCGTCAGGGTCTACTAGCCTCCTGCAAATGGGGTAATCAATTTAAGGAATCCCTCTACGCTGCCCCGTGGTCATCGCCTTTGTTCTTTGAAGGTAACATAGACAAGGTCTCCAAAGAGGTGTCTAAGGACTCTAGAGAGGTGCTTATGATCAAGTCCATGGATACGTTAGCTAATGTCATTAAGCAAACATCCTTGAGATACTCTGGCAAGTCTAAATTCTCTGGACTACAGAAAGCATCGGACAAGAAATTGGCTACAGCAAAAGGTCCCAAGGAATCTTTTCGTGCCCATACAGCAATTTCAGAGGAGGATCAGCAAGAGGCAGGTCATCCAGAGGTTCCCGCGCTTTTAAACGATGAAATACGGGTTCGAACGACTGGAGTCTTCCACCCCAGCCGCTCCAGTACAACCTTCTCAAGTGGGTGGACGCCTTCAGCTGCACTGGGAAAACTGGGGATTCCTACAAGATCCTTATGTATCCAACATCCTACAGCACGGATATCAAATACAACTCAAGGCCATACCTCCGTTGACAGTCATCCCTCAAAGGTTCGACTTCCAACCGCCACAACTACCAATGTTAAGAGAAACAGTAGCTACTCTTCTAAACAAACAGGCCTTAGAAGTTCTTGATCAGCGAAACATCATACCAGGTTTCTACTCCCCAGTTTTCCTAGTGCCCAAGAAAATTCCAAGGAAAAAGTTTCGTCTCATATACAACATGAGCATCTTCAACAGAGACTATCTAAGCAAACCGCCAGCGTTTAGCATGATACACTTACAGCAACTTCGCACTTAATTTGTCCCAGAGATTACATGGCCAGCATAGATTTGCAAGACGATATCTACACATCTGATTCATCCAAATTCAAGGAAATATCTAAGATTTATCCTAGACGGAATACATTACGAATGGAAAGTACTTCCCTTTGGAATCTCATCGGCCCCTTGGGTATTCACAAGAGTGACGAAACCTATTGTCTCCTACCTACATCGTCAAGGTCTTCGCAGCGTTTTTTACTAGACGACGGGATACAAGTGGATCCGGTCCACAGCGTCTCAGACTACAGCTGAACTGTATAATCACGTTACTAACTCAACTAGGATGGTTAGTAAATCTACTCAAGTCAGACCTAGAACCAACACAAGATCTGCAATTTCTAGGTATACAATTTCTAACAGCCCAGAATCGCATAGTAGTCCTGGAGGACAGATGGATCAAGATCCAACAGCTAATCCCACAAGCCTTACTCTCTTCGCTACCACTACGACAGTGGCAGAGCCTATTGGGATTACTCACATCAGCTCAAGACTTGACAGTCAGAGGCAGACTTCAATTACGTCCGTTACAAGTCCTGATCAATGCGCATCTCGAAGACCCTCTACCGTTCAGTCTACCAGATCACGTCAAACCTCATCTACTTTGGTGGACCAAGAGATTGAATGTTTGCGTAGGCGTCTCCTTAATAGAGCCGGAATCGGAAAAACACACAGCCCACCTTGCCAACAGTACAGCGTCAGGCCTATTGAGCAATCAAGAGAGCAAGTTACACATAAATCTGCTAGAGATGCAAGCAGTCATAAATGACATAAGTCACTGGAGCAACCTACTACAGAACGCTCAGTTGATGATTCACACAGACAATTCGACAGTGGAGTTTTATGTGAACAAACAAGGCTGAACAAGGTCACCGAACTTACTGTCTCTATATTTCCCATTGTTCGATTTGATCGACAATCTAAACATACATGTCAGAGCTTGCCACATTCCAGGAGCAAAGAATGTATTAGCAGATGCTCTCTCTCGGCCACACCTACCTTCGCCGACAGAATGGATGCTCCACACAGAGATATTCACCCAAATAATCATGGAAATAGGATCTCCACTAGTAGACCTATTTGCCACTCGATTCAACAAACCACTGACAACATTCGTATCGCCAGTTCCAGACCCACTAGCATGGGCAACGGACGCACTAAGCATATCGTTGGAGGGACTCAACGCGTACGCTTTCCTGCCACCAGCGTTAATCCAACAAGTCTTACGGAAAATCAGTCAAACGCAGAGCCTCAATCTGATTTTGGTCCCGCCCTACTGGCCAGTGAGAACGTGGTTTCAAACTCTTATTCAAGAAATCGGACAACCAATTCTACAACTTCCAGAGTGCTTTCGAATCTGTTGATACA